GAATACATACAGTGCTTGTGAATCTTGTGAGCTAGACGGATTAGAGGTGCTTGGAGAGATGCCGGGAGGGTACTGTGCTCATCGGTGCATGAATCCACTGATGTTCAAAGCTGAATGTGCTGTGAGGAGGCGGGGCTTAGCTGCAGTAGCCGGGTCACTGGGGCTGTGCCTGTGGAGGGTAGAGCTCTTGATGGTGCTCCACCTCTGGGCTCTGGGAAGCTGCCATGAGGACAGAAGCCTTGCTACACCACATCCTTCTGCCATGTTGTTTCTGCTTTGGAGCCAACTGACCATGAACTGAACTTCTGAAATTGTAAGTCAAATAAATCATTTCCTCCTTTAAATTGTGTGGGCCAGGCATTGTGTCCCAGCAATGGGAAATCTGCCTAATACATCTCCAGATGTTTATTCATTCAACAAGTATTTCCTGCATCCCTTCTCTAGGCCAAGCTCTGTGTTAGACTCTGGTGACACAAAGATAAGCAAGACAGAACATCCTGGGATGCAGGCTCCTAAGTGCAATGGGTATGCATAAGGGCTTACAGGAGAGACATCTGACCCTGTGTGCGTGGGAGCAGAATGGCCAGAAAGACCTCCCAAGAGGAGTATTCAGCGCCTCCACATACTGTCTGCTCTCACAAAGTTGGCAGAGACTGTCTTCAATCCTCCCAGCAACACCCGTACTGGGTAATTATTATATTATAGATAATGCATGAAGTCACTCTAGTAAGTGGCAGAGACACACTGTGATCCCAGAAACCCTGACCCTCAGCTTGCCTGACTCCAGTTTGTGTTCTTTCTAATACAGAGCTTGCCTCTGAGAACACCACACTCCAGTTGCAAGAGACTCCACCATCATGTCAGCCAGCTTTCTGTTACTGTTTCATCGCTGTGACTAAAAGTATTTCTTTTGTGTCACTGTTTCAGAGATCTCAGTCCATGGTTGCTTGGCCCTGTCCTTTTGGGCCTGTGGGGAGGCAGAACATCATGGTGGGGAGCTCGTGGTAGAACAATACTGTTCACCTAATGGCAGCCAGGGAGCAAAGAGAGGGAGGAAAGGGCTGAGGTCCTGGGATCCCCTTCAAGGACAAGGATACATCCCTAATGACCTAACTTCCCATAACCAAGCCCGACCCCTAAAGTTTCTACCACTTCCCACCATCCCCATCATCCAGGGATGAAGCCTTCAACTCTCAAGCTTTGGGGGGACACTTGTAATCCAAACCAGAGCAGGAAAGAGTCACTGACCAGGCCACGAGGAAGGTGTCATGGAGGAGGCAGGCCCGAGTGAGCCTTGGTAGGATGCTTCACGACAGGACGAGCACAGGTTCTTTCGTTAGTCGCGCCAGTCCTCCAGGTTGTGTGCAGGGCAGAAATGCTGAAGGTCAAGGCCATTTTCCTAATGGCTAGGGGGTGGAGTAGATTTTTTTTTTCTGTTTTTGGTGGCAAGGTAAGGTGCATATGAGGAGTCATCTTTAGGTTACAGGAAACAGAAACCCAGTCATACTAACTAAAGCCAAAAATAAATAAAAGCAAACAAACTCAATAAAAAGGATATTTATTTTAAGGGTACAGGCATTTTGTAGAACCCAAGAGGAAGAGTGTACTGTGACCCGGACATGGGCAGCCAGGATCAGCTGTTCTCTCACTCCTGCCTGTGTCTCTGAGCGACCACATCATCCTGCAGTCGGGCTTATACTGCCTCTTGGTAGTGAGGCAAAGGTGCCTCTAAACACTTCCCGGGATCCAGACTCTCTGAGCAGCAGGTCTAAATCCCCAGGAGAGAGAATCTGATGTGTTCCTCCTGGGCCACAGAGCCATGGCCAGGGAATAAAGGCATCTATTCTCAGAGAAGAGCAGACTAGATTTCCAGAGGTCAACCTGGAGTCTTCCAGAGAGGCGTCAGGCTGCAGGTATAGTCTGAGCCAGGCTCTGGTGAGATAGAGCTGGGAGTGATTTCTTTTTACCTTCTCACTCTTCCCTTTAGAGTAACAGATTGGCTTCCACATTTATAATTCTTCTGTGTAGTTATTAAATCCATAAATAAAGATTTAATCTGTGAAGCTCGGCCTTGGGAGAACAGAAGTGAAGAGCGGGCAGAGGAGAGTTTACCGGTCCTGGCAGCCAGGGCAGAAGAGCGGGCTCCAAGCTCCCAGGCCGCTGCGGCTGAAAGGGCAGCTGCAGACAAGGCTGAGCCAGCACAATAGCCCTGCCTTCCGGCGGAAGGAACGGGAAGGCTTTCCTGAACCACACTGCCAAGGTAGCCATGCAGAGGCGGGACAGCAGGCCCCAGAGACCTATCCTGAGAGCTGGAGGAAGACCAGGATGGCTCGGCAGCTCTCAAAATGAACACATTTGACTTAAACCAGGTGGACAAATGGGAAGCAGTAGAAAGGGACATTTCCAGGAGTCTCGGGGAAGGGGTGCTGTGCCAGTGGAGGGATTGAGGAGGGGTCCAGGAACTCTGAGACTGGAGGAGGAGGAAGAGGGAAACGGCTCTCTTTCCCGTTTAGCTCAGAGCGCCACTGCAGTGGAAGCAGCAACAGCTGAATCAACACTTCATTCCTCACATCTCTGCCCTCTGCCTCCCTCCATCCAGGGCTTGGACAACGCTGGCTCGCTGGCTCCGAAGCCTCGATTAAAATGCGCAGGATGAACCTTTCAGAGTCTCTGGCAGGGATGTTGAGAGCAGCATCAGGGAGGCCAGACTATGGGAAGAAAGAAGAGGCTTGGAAAGTAGGGCAGGAAAGCCTGGGGCCTGTTATGGGGGTGTGGGAGCCCTCTCCACCCCTCTGTGATGGGAGAGCAGCATCTGGATCAACAGCTGCAGCCCCTCCTGGGTCTCGGCGCTAGTCCCCCCCGTCCAACTCCATTGGTGACTACCCGAGGGCCAGGACGGAGTAGGTGTGGAACTTTCCTGTAGATTTTTAACCCCTCTCGCCTCGCTTAGGGTCTTTTGTGTAACCAGATCCAAGGTCATCACCCTGGTTAAAGAGGTGGTGGGCTAGCGAGGGCTCAAGAGAGTGATGAGGCTGTTTTTTGACAATAGGATTCAGCTGCCCAGTGCACCTCCATGAGCACCAGATAAGTTCGTGAATTTGGATGGTTCACTGGCTCTTCCCACCCAGTTTCACTCACCTTCCAGAATGCTTCCAGAATAGCACTCGCCATTCTACAGGCGCCAGCAAGAAAAAGCAAAAAGTAATACATGATGAGGCCCCAGAGATGTCTGCCCTTCCAGAAAAAGTCTGAGTGAACTTTTTCAAGGAAATTTTAAACCTCACACAAAAAGGGTTTTTCCTTTCTCATTGAGGAATCAGGCAAAAAAGATGCCACAAAGACAAGCACATGCATGTGTGAGGCAGAAGGACCCGGTCGGTCTTCAGGGAACTGGCCAGGATTACAAATGTGTTTCATACGCTGTTCCTCGCGCTGGTGTCATTCCTGCACGGTCACACTGGCAGGGACTGTTCTGTGCGTGCACACACATGCACACACACACACACACACACACACGCACAGTCCCACACAGTCACTGTCTCAAGTCCTACACATTTGCACAGAGTCCCATAGTTGTACACACGTGTGCACATGGATATAGACACACATGTATGCACGTGCACACACACACACAGCACCACGCTGCAGCCCTTCACTGCCTGGACCCTCCTCTCCAGGCCTCTACTGAGAACTCCTTTCCTCCTCCACACCCCTTCCTGTGTGCCTTGTGCTGGAGCCAGATGTTCCGTGGGCAGACCCCTTTGAGGGCTGACAGGCGGTGATTACTGCTGCCAGCCCCACATTAGGAGAGAATTGAATGGGAGAGAACCCCCACCCGCCAGGGCTCCCTACAATAGCGCCTTTGTAAGGTGCTTCACTGCCTTTCTTTCCCCTTTCTCAACAACCTAGTCAGGAGCTGCTCTGCCAGAGAGAAGAAAAGACAAAACGGGGGTCACAGGGCCCTGACTGTTCTGCTAGTCCTGGGACGGAACAGGGCTGCGCTTTGGAGAGAGAACCCCGTGTTCCTTCCCTTTCTCTGCTAGGGTAAATAATCCAGAGGGTCTGCAGGGATGCCTGAGGCAACTCCCTATAAAGCAGAGGGTTCTGTCCACCAGCCAGCCCTGCTATTGCGTGCTGAACATGGATGCAGCTGGGGTAGGGGCCTGGTGCCCAGATCAGCAGACTCCTACAGACAGGAGCCCAAAGCCCGGAGCTTCCTTCCTTCTATCCTTTCTGTCATCTGCAATCCAGACCCAAAGACCAGGGTACCAGGCTGGGAAACTACATTTTCAGGACTCCAGGGCAGACATAACCCAAATTCCAGAACTTAGATGGGCAGGTGGGAATGATGAGGCGGAGAGAAGGAAAGCAGGGATGTGTGGGGGAACTGGGGAGACCAAATGTGGGCTGGTCACTGCCCCTCCTCCCTGCCCAAACCGCAGACGCTGTGGCAGCAGGAAAATCAGAGTGGTTCAGACCAAGGATTGTGCAACCTAACCCTGGGGAAGAGCCCAGTGCTGGAGGTGGGAGTGGAGGTTTGGGTTGGAGGGGCGGGGCAGAGTACACTTCAGAGGTGAGACAGAAAGTTCTCACTAAAAGTACGTGTGTTCTGTGCTGTGGTTTCTACGCTACATTTCAAGGCAAGTCCATTTTCTGGTTCAAAGCCCACAGGGAGTTGGAACTGGAAGCATTGCACTGCCCCTCGGTCCCGGGGTCCCGTGGCCCGAGGCATGCCATTGGTGCTTCTGGAATGGTTGCTGAGGATGACAGTGGCTGTGAAAGGAGACCATTTGTCCAGCCTCCTAACGTGGCAGGAGTCTGCTGCTTCCCCAGGCGCCTCACATAAAATCTGTAACTAGAGAAGCTCCAGCTCCCTCAGCTAAGCGAGCCCAGCCGAGCTCCTGATGTGGTTTAAGGAGTGGGGGTGGGTAGGAGGACGGAAATGGAGGGTGGTGGGGAGAACCGTGATCTGTGGGCTACCCCAAACAAACGCAGGAGAGGAGTAGTGGATTTTCCTTTTAATGCAAAATGTGGCAATACAAAACAATATGGAGAAAGCTCCATTCTTCAGACTTGGAGGGACGCAGGAGCACTGTCTGCTTCTGCTCCTCTCTCCCCTGACTCATACTACTGCCTGGGGACCCATTCAAGGGAGGGTCAGAGCTGTGGGCCTGGGTCATCTGGGACCTGGTATTTGTGGACATGGGGCAGGAGAGCAGAAGGGAACATTTAGAGTTTTCACTATTTTAGTTCTACAAGGGTTACTCAGGATCTGGAGTCCCACAGAAAACAAAGGGGCTATGAGAATTTGGTTATCACTGGTTAAAAAACCAGTGATTTGAGTCTCAACTTGTCTACATTTGAAGAAAAAGGAGCAGGAATTCTATCAGGGATACAAATGTATGAGGATAAAGAGATTAAAACAAAAAGTCTAGCCTCTCAGACTTCTTCTTTCTTCCTCATCTCCAGCTTATAGAGAATCTGATAGCCATCATCCCAGGCATAGAGCTGGCGCTCACGGGGATTGTAGCGGAGGCTGGCGTGGGCACCATATCGACGGGGAAAGTAAGACAGTGCTGCTCGTTCAGGGGTGAGGGTACCACTGACATCAAAGGAACACTGGATTCGGGCCCGGCTGGCAGGGCGGGTGTTATAGACGACGTATAGCGTCCCACAGATGACAAAGGCAGCCTCAGCATTCTCTCTGGGACATGGTGTGTCCCACTGTTGCTCTGTGTCCAGTGTCTGTGGATCTAATTTGGCCAGGCACAAGTGCCTGTTATCCTCCAGGGTGGCGTAGACAGCCCAAAGACCCTCCTCATCAGCTGCCAGGTCGATGTATGTGTCTGTTCTCAGCCCGTAGGGGGGAATCAACCTCTCTGCAGGGAATACTGAGCTGTCCACCACTGTTCGGTTTGCCAGGTGGAATTTGATGAGCTGCAAAGTGTTCTCCAACTCGCCGCCCCCTCCAGGTCCTCCAGGAGGCCTCCGGGCATAGTAAAGAAAGCCACCATATACCAGCTGCCCTGTGCCTACCCAGGGGAAGGGCACCCGGATTCGGGAAGCTTTGCGAGCAGCCATGGCAAGGGTGAAGTCACGCAGCCTTGGGAAGACAAAGGCTGTGTCATTTTGTGTCCCGTCTAATACATAGATCTTCTCTGTCTGTCCCAATGGATCCTTGGTCCACAGACCAGCTGGGCCACCAAACTGCTTCAGGATCTTCATTGCTCTCACCTGAGAGATTGTGTAGCTACAGTCTGGCAGAGAAGAACAAAAACAAGAGAAAAGGAAACAGAAGCCGGAGTTAGCTCCCACAGCAGGAAACCGCCAAGGTGGGCTAGCGGAAGAGAGGGCATCTGCCCTGTGGATACCTCCTTTCTTATGGAGGATTGAGAGAGGCCTGGGGCCCCAGATACTCTTCTTAATGGACTTCTCATTGCACAGATTTCTCTAACACAGGTTCCAAAAGGGAACCACAGTGGACAAAGTAAAAAAGAGTAAAAAGGAAGGAAGACGGCAGGTTCTGAGAGTATTGGGGCCTGCTTTATAATCACAGTCACTCACCTGTCATCATATCATACTTCTCATTCCTTCTGCCCTTGCCTTTGCTCCCAGGGCCTCCAGGCACTTTCTCATCAAGCTCTACACAGGGTAGAACTGGGTTCCGAGTCTCCAGATAGTCTACCTCCCGTTCAAGACGGTCCACTCTCCCTGAGATGCCGTCAGCCTCAGTTCTGAGCGCCTCTCGCTCCTTCTCCGCCACCTCCAGCAGCGGCAGCATCTTGTTCTTGAAGTCCCGCAACTCAGCAGCATGCCGACTGCTCTGGTCCTGGCACTGGGCCAGCCGTTCCTGAAGGGATGGGGGATCAGGAAGGAGGGAGGGCAGCTGCAGGGTTACAACTTCCAGGCAGAGAGGCCCAGCCAGGGAGTCAGGAATGGGAAAGGGAGCAAACTCAGCTAGGCGTCGATGTCTCCTTCCACTCCCAAAGCAAAGAAAACCAGATGTTCAGGGTGCTAAAGGTGCAAAGATTCACCTAGGCCAGAGTCCTTCAGCCTGTGTGCTGAGAAAGCCACGGAGTTACCTGAGCTCTAGGGAGATCTAAGTGCAGGAGGGTGGGAAGGGGTCTCTGCCCATTATATAATTCTCCTCTTGGGAATGAAGACAGTATGGACTTCAAACCGCTGGAAAAAGGGCAGAAAGCTGCAGCGTCTCTGGGAACTTCCAACTTCACAGAAGCACCAGCTCCTCCTGCGATCTGCCCCCGCAAGCCTGGCTCTCTTCCCACTCATCCTCTTATCCCACCTAATCCCAGGGTAAAATGCAAAGGTCTATTTGCTGCGGAACAGCTCTATGTGGCAAAAGGGGGCTTGTAACTTTGAGGATCCTCTTTATTAAAAGGTAGAATTTGCGGTAGGTTTTTATAAAGCCCTGTTTTGCCAGGCCCAGAACCCTGACAAACTGGAATCCTCCCAGGCTGGGCTAGAAGAGAAAGCAGTCCCTCACCTCCAAGGCAGCTAGTCGGCGTTCCATGTACTCCACAAGGTGGTGCTGCTGCTGTCCCTGAAGGGGTCCCGACCATGACAAAAGGACCAGGACGAGGAGAGCAGAGCTGAAGCCCATGGCAGCCTGGAGAGCGGGGCCACAGGCAAGGGAGTGTGCGGTTGGCCTCTTCCCATCAAGCTGGCGGGGTGGCTTGGAGGCGGGGTGGGGGCGGTGCCTTCTCTCTTTCTGATCTCTGGGTCTCTCTCACTACTCTGGAATGCTTTCCCAGTCTCTCTACAACTCCAGCCCCTCCTTTCTGCCTGGGCTGATCAAACACAGATGGCCCCCTTGCGCAGGAGCCAGAAGCCTTAGCCGCCTCCCACCTAGGCTGTGGGCTCCTCAGGAGGAAAAAGAGATGGAAATCCGAAGGCAGTGGTTTTCTGGGAAATCGTGCAGAAAAGGAGCAGGAGGTGGAGACCCCAGAGAGAACTCAGCAAACACCATTCTTGTTTTAGAATGGTTCTAGTGTTGATTTATAAGAAACTGACATCCTTCATTAATCCTTGCCTTCTGTAGTAATAGGATGGATTTCCCACCTTTTTCAATGGAAGTTGGAAGCAGAGGCGATGAGGTTTGAGGGGAAGAGGTGGGAAAAAGTCAAACTACTTCTACAGCTCACTGGCGCCATCTTGTGCTAAACACCCGCTGTTATCTCATGATTAACAGAGACTTAAAGGGTTAGACCTCACCTTACGTGGAAATTTTTCAACGGAACAGGACAGGTAGATTGTATTTACAGGGTTTTTCATCTCCAAAATGCAGATTTCCCTACAGACTACCCAATTTCTTTAGGGGACCATGCCAGTCTCTCTGATTTAGCTCAGGAAAAAGAATACAACTGAAATGAAAACAAAGAACAAGGTCACTGAGACATTAGTAAATTAGCTTATTTTCTGGAAGTGGGGCTAACAGCACAGCAGTTCTACACGGCTGAGTGTAACTTCTTGCCAAAATTGCAGAGTTTAACAGATCTGCGCTAACTGAATTCACGATACAGGGAGAAAAGAAATTTTGAATTTATGTATGCTGTAGTATAACCCAAAATTATAAATATATTCTGGCCTTTCCTAGAAATATATTTCTGGGAAAGAAGAGACTACTGATCACTTCTCTTGGTTAGAGTTCAAAAGGGTGTTCCTAACTGTTGTTCATTTCTGTGTCCTAACCAAAGCTGCAGGAACCCAAAATGAATTAACTGGCCACTGCATACTTGGCCTCTCACACATGCTAGAAGTCAACTACATATTCAGAGACCTGCAATGACTAATCTTGACCAATTCCTGTTTATCGGGAGAAAATGTATTCATTTCAAAATCAAGAGAAACATGGTCAAAGGTGTTCCTTCTCCAAAAAGGACCACAAATCTAATGGTACAACTCCAGGACAAAAAACCAGCATCTTCCTTTGCTCTTATTTTCATCCCACTACCTTAGGCCACTGGTGAAACATACTGGGAAACAAACATTAGCCATTTGAGAAGTCTACTTCTTTCAGAGGGTGAAGTTCAGATCTAAAGCAGCCAACAGATTACTGGACAGCCAGTAATGCAGCCTCACAAGGTCAGAAACTTTCAATACCATGAAGTGATTTTCATCACTGGATTGCATGGGGCTCAAGCACAAACTGTGTCAGGGACAGTGGAACACTGTAGAAGACAGTGCCGGCTCCATCTCTTTCCTGCACCTGCCAAAGTCAGACCAATGGAAACCTACATGCACCAAATTTGTGCAACTTAATGGATAAAATGGAGTGATTTCCAATAAGAGTATTTCAACATACTTGTGTATGCTTGTGAATACAAGTGTTTACTGTTATTACGTTGACATGTAAATTCTCTTATTAAACTTGGGTTTGTGTTATTTTGTAAAGTAATGTAATGTTAAAATATTTAAAAGGAAGTTCTGTTACTTTTATGTATGAATGATTATATTTTATATATGGCCCAAAACAATTTCTCCTCACTCAATGAGGCCCAGGCAAGCCAAAAGGCTGACATGCGTAATCTAAAGGTCCTGCAAAAACAAAAAAAAAATAAAGGTCCTGGACCTTCATTCTTGGGAAGTATTGCCTACCAAATCCTATTCAGTTCCATTTTAGAAATTTGTTTGAAGAATAAAGCTGTCATGTGTTATGTATATGTACCAATTCCCCATGATGAATATAATTATTATATATTGCAAACATGTACTAATAAAAATTTAAATTAAAAAAATGAAATTGTCTCTAATGCTCTGATGTTCAAATGCAATGTGTTTAGACATTCTAAAGATATCACTGCTTCATCTTCTCTTGTGCCTCTAAACGTAAAGAACAGCCAGGTGAGTCAGAAAATTTACCCATTTTATTGATGCATTGCAATTGCTCTACATTTTACCATATTATGTAGAAAATACTGAAAATACAAGCTACTTTGTAAAACCAAAGACAAACATTGAATCCAAAGATAAACTATGTTTTACACAATGGACCCTTTTCCCATAGTTAGTATTAAATTTTAAATATCTATTTCTTTTGTTAAAATGATTATTTTACATACTCCCTAAGTACATCTGCATTACAAACATAGCTCAGTAATTCTCAGAAACTATCTGTTTCTAGAGGCTTGTTGTAAAAGGAAGCTCACAACCAGAAAAAGGAGAAAGCAAAAAAAAAAGTTTAAATCACACACAGTAACTAGCATATCAAATACATTTAATAAAGTAGGAATTTCATTGCAATATCAAGGATTCAAAGCAGAAATACTAACATTACATACAATGTACATATAATGTACTGCTACATGTAGTGAGATTATTTTCCAAGCTGAATTGAAACCACACATTATATAAAGTTTAGCAACAAACAACCATGTAGACATGCTGCACCATCCATCAGTTTAAAAACAAAAATCAAAACAGGAAGCAGGCTGAGGCTATTCCTGTCACTGAGAGGCAATTTCATTTCCCATCCTAAAACAAACCATCTCAATCAGTGAATTTCTGCATAACAATGCTGAATAAAACACACATTACTGTGCTTGCCTGGCTAACAGCAGTCAAGCTTAGCCCCTCTAGTGGAGGATGATGGATGAGCAATCACAAAAGCAGGCTCAGAATGGACAGAACTGTTTGAAATGAAATTCTTATTCCTGGGGTTGGGATTTCAGCTGAACACTGACAGTGGTATCCACCTCTTGGGAGCTATTAGAACTCAGGAGTGATTAAGTGTCCCTGATGAGGTTAGATGGCTATACTCAACCCTTCTCCACTTCTTCCCTCAGCTGGAAGAGCAGAAGTTGGAAATGAACTCACAGAGGACTTAAAAGCCTTAAGCTGCCTTGAGGTCAGGCCACGGTGACCCAGACCAGCTGCTTACTACATTCACGGGGCTTCCCCTCTGCTGTCAGGGCTAGTAATGTTAAGCCCCAGGGACAGAAACAAAAGCCACACCAAGCACATACACATTCAGCAGACAAAGGTGGATTTTTATCTTGGTAAACCTGAAATGTCAATTTACAGACTAAGACTGAAAATCTCTAGGTTATTTTTTAATGCCACACATTGCTAGTCAGGTGATTAAGGTATTATCCTTTCCTGTGGAGTTAAGACTCTTATCTTAAAAGGTATCTAAGGTATCTACTTGTTGGACTAAGGGAAAGGGTGGAGTTGTTTTTCCCTGAATCTTATTTCTTACAAAAACAACAAATTTTGTCCCTTGCGGAAGAAAGATAAGGAACAAAAAATGTTTCCACTAGAAACCAGATCTGCATTAAACAAGAAAACCAGAATGTGCTTGGCAATAAGGAGACAAAGATCATACACGCTGACCAGAAAACTGTGTGACACTAGTTACAAACTACACACACTGCCGGGCTGTCTTGATCAATATAGTGCGGAACACACAACTTAATATAATGATTTTTTTAAAATACAGAAAACACAACACGTTCCTGGGAAGCTGTATTGAGTACCTGCCCCATCTTGGAAGCCCTTACTCCTTTTGCTGAAGAAACTCCAAATACTTTGACAGCTCCTCGGTGTTCAACCCAGTACAGAGCTTGCTGACCAGGCTCCATGAAATCTCCCATCTCCATTCTGCACCTTCTTGACACCATCTCCATATAGAACCAGTCCTAGAATTATCTCTCCAATATAGTTTTCAATTCAGATGGAACACATCTCTATCTTAGGGTAACCTTCTTCCCCCAAATCCTTTATGGGCAGGAATGTCCCTATCCCCAGTATCTTCTACTTGACCCGGATCTGTGGAGAGCTGAGATTACCAGGACAATGTCACAGCTTGAAGGGCCCCAAGAATATACAAGTTGTTAAAAAGAAACCTCAAAAGCCTCAATGATTCAGTAGGCTTTGGTTTCTTCTTGGTATTCTTCCTCAGCTAAGAAACCTTTCTGTGAGTTTCTCGTCACCAGCAACACCACAAAACTCCTCATAATATGGGGACATGGCAAGCAATACAACAGGATCTTTGGTATAAACACATTTGTTACTTTTTTTTTTTTCCAACAAGCAAATATGTTACTAGCAATGTCAACTATTTTCAGGAAGGACTGCCACATGGGAAAAGGAAAAAAAATCTCATTCTAAAAATGATTGCACATACTTTAAAAAAAAAGAAAAATGCATGTTTAATATTGGCTTGACTCCTGTCACCTGCTTCCTAAATCCTCACAGAAACAAGGTAGCAATGCACAGTGAGAGAGCCACGTGGGGAAAATGCTTCTGTGAGAACTCAGCTAAGACTCCAAAGCGGAAAGGAGCAGAGCTGGCGATATAGAAGAAAAGCTGCTGTTTTTATTTTTCAACATTGGCAGGGAAACTGAGAACAACGTATCTACACAACACAGCTACTAATCCTGTTCTGGTATATCCCGGTGAACAGCTTCAGGGTCCACGGGGGCTTGCTGGTCCATCCTAAGGCAAGCTCACTGTAAACTCTATTAACCACTACATCATCATATAAGGCACTACAATAAGGGAAGGGAGGAGAAAGGGAAGGAAGAGACACACACTGAACAACTCCTCACCAGACACACCTGTGCAAAACAATTCCAAGGGTCTCCTCTCCTTGCAGGCAATGCCCCTGCTCATTCAGCACTACAGTAATATGCTCTAATATAATTGCAATTAGTTCACATACATTCCAACAAGTATCAGTTCATTTTGGTTTAAAT